TATTGCTTCATGGAATACGGGACGACCCCCAACTTACTTGTTACTAATCGCAGTGGAATGCTGTTGTACGGACGCAGCTATCAGAGAAGAGATCTGTGGAAAAGGCGCGGCCTCTTTATGAGGTTCGGTAGTCGCTTAACGCGCGGAGGTAGCGCATTGGAACCGTACTCGCGCGCTGTCCTTTCATAAGGAGTCCGCGCGCGCGAGCGCGAACTCCGCCATCTGGACAGGGTCTCCCGAGAAGCTGGGGGGGGGGGGGGGGATGAGGTGATGTGTGAGGTCGCCGTCAACACAGCTTTAAGTCATGGGGACACAGTCGCGACAAGGAGAAGAAGAAACGACAGTGACTTGGAGGAGAACAAAGCATGGAAGGGAGATTGTGACGGAGCTACCTGACCTCAGGTAAGGCATGTGCAAGATGAGAAAGAAAAAAAAAGAAGGAAAAAAAAAAAGGATGGTAAATAAAAATAAAGGGACAGGCAAAGCAAAGCAAAGCAAAGCAAAGCAAAGCAAGGTAAGGTAAGGCAGCGTATAGCAGGTAAACCTGGAAAGCGCCACATGGGAATGGAAAGACGACGTAGAAAGAAAGAAAAAAGAGAGAGAGAGAGAGAGAGAGAGAGAGGTCTGGTGTAGGTATCCGTAGTGTAGCAGGGATAGGGTACACGTCGCCGCCTTCCCCTACTTTTTGCTATCCTCCTTGCCTTACACATGAATGGTGCCTGCCGACCGACATGTGCTGCACGCGATGCCATGGGTGTTTCCAAAACGGATGCGAGGATGGGGAAACGAAGAAGAAAGTAAGGAAGAAAGAAAGATGGGGATTGGCAAACTGCCTTTCCCCGACTCCATACCTACACTACTACTCTGTCTGCTCGGCTCCTTGCAATACCTTGCAGTGACCAGTCTGTGGCGTGGCACTGTACTTGTTCATAAAGACAAATGGCCGATGGGAGGAGTGTCGTCTCGAGGTGACCATCCAAACGACCCGGCGCGACGACACGAGATGACACACCCTCAGTATTTCGCCGGGTACCTGCGAAGAAGAAGAAACCATATGAAAGGTGGTATTATGGGAGGGCCCGGGCTGGGCTGAGCCGTGGACAACCTGAACGCGGTGTGGCGGGCAAACTACAACGAGCACACGTATCCGTCCCAGGGCCATATAGCTTCGCTTTAGACATGCCTTACCGTTGTCTTCTCGCCTTGTCTGCTTCTTCTTGAAACAGGAGGGGAAATACGAATAAGGATTGGGTCGATGGATTACCGCTGCAAAAGCCGAGCGGGTTGTTGTTGGTTTACTCCTGTGCGGCGGCGGGGGCTCGTATGGGCCAGAGAAACGGGATAATAGAAGAGGAGTGCCCACCCAAGTGAGGAGGGGTACGAGGTGGACGGGGCCAAACAACAACCGTACGCTTCGTTTGAGCTGTCATGAGGAAGGTCAGTCTTCGTGTCTTTGAGCTTGTAGCGAGTGATGAATAATGATGGCAAAGGACGCAGGAAACCGATGAAAAGGAGATGTGCATGCAGCACATGGTTGCAAAGTTTGCAACTCTCACAGAGTAGACAGATTCCAGATCTGACCACCTAGCCCAATCCGACATGCCGCCACTATTTTCTGTCTGCATATGCATGTATGTGGTGCGTGCACCTTATGCGACCATACTAGGTACGCACGTAAAGGGCCTGTTGGAAGGCTCAGGAAGCGGCAGCCAGCCAGGGAGTCTACCATGATGCATGGGGAAAATTAAACCCGACCATATTTCCATGTCGTTGCAGGGCAAGCAACTCGTTGCGGAACGCGTGGCGCCTAATCGGCCGCTGAGACTGACGGGGCATGACGGGGCATGACGGGGCATTGACGGGACCGGAATGAGGTGGTGCGTGGTGCTGTAGAATGAGGGTGTGGGTGGGCGGGCAACCGGACACTTCCATGCAGATATGAGCTCCCAGATGGTGGATAGGGCGAGGGATTGGCATTGTAGCAAACAAGGCCGCCCGCCAGTGGATGAACCTGAATCACCAACATCCAGCCACGGGAGGGAGTGGCAGGATATTGATGACGCCACAAGAGTAGAACCACGTTTTGTGGTAGCCGCCTCCAATACTTGGTCGATCGGCAGATGGAGGGGCCCCGAGCTTTCGTTGCTCCTCGTGTAACGATGGCCATGACAAAACACCAGGGGCGATGGCGGGTGCTCGGGAGCACTGGGAAACGGCAAAAGCAGCCTGGCTAACAGCGTCCGTCTCTCGTGGGCCGTAGGCCGGGCATTGTAGTCCGCGTGTACGCCCCGAGGACATGATCGGGGACGAAGACCGATCCGATCTAGGTATGCGTGTGCTTCGTATTGCCCGTTAGGACAACTTGCGATCGCCGGAGCAAAAGAGTGGGTAGCGTACGGCTATCTGAAGCTGAGGCCCACTTTGCTTCGCAGACAGGGACCAGTTCAATCGGCCCTGCTGCTGTTGGTCGCGCTGCTTGCCAACTCATGTCCGATCCCGAGAGAACGAAGTAGACGACGGGCATCTAACGTGAGCAAGGGCGGATCGCAAATGGGTGCGGGGGACTCGGAAGGTCTGCAGGGGTTGGGATGAAAGAATGGAAAGTGGAGAGAAGGACGGCAAACTAGATGACGGAATTGCCCATTGCTAGTGACTCAGATGCTGCACGAACAAGCTAGCGGTTCCGAGTGGGCTATTTGCACTTGGCTTCCGGGTCAGGCCAAAAGGAAGCGTGTGTGTGTGTGTGTGTCTAGGCTATCCATGCCCGGAACGTGGAGTTGGCAGCATGGGCAACGTAAGTTGTGTCTGAAAAGAAAAGCAATGAAGATATTCCCAGGATGCTTCCGCCGCAAATTTCGTCTTGAGGGCTGTACACTGTACGTGGTGGGACGGAGCTGGTGACAGGGGAAAGAAGAAAAAAAAAAAGAAACAATTCGGCTCAGACGGGAACGACAGTAAAGAGGGGAGAGCGGGGGGGAAGATCAACCCAGTATCCCCGTCTTCGAACCTCGATGAGGTCGAGTCTGCCGGCGAAGAGGGCAAAGCGAGGCAGAACGTCCGTTGTGGCTCGATTACTACCTAGGTAGGTAGGCAGGTATATCTCGCATGGTTCATGTACCTGCTCATTATTATTTCGCATCATCAAAACCCAAGTAAAATACGCAGGTAGCCGAAGAACAGGCGAGCGGGACAGACGAGCCGTAGCCCCTGTCACCGGTGATGGGGCCAGTCGCAATCCGTTCCGGCCGCAGCTACCTACACTAAACTAGGTAATTAGGCGCCTTCCTAGTTCACTACGGATACAGTAACGCGTTTTCCATGTGAGGGAGGACCCTTGCACGACTACCCCCAGCAACTCCCTGGTCGGGACGCTCGTATGGGTCCCGAGAAAGGGAGGTGGAGTGGGTCCATTTGGGTACGTATCGCCCGGCTTCTGGCTGGTGCCCCACCACTCCCAATCGAATCGAACCTCATCTCATGTCGCCCGCGGCGCTCTGCTGAACCTCGACGACCGAGGACAAGTAGCTAGGTAGGCACTGCAACGCGCGACCTTACCAATGTGATGCAACGCGATGCGAATCAAGTTTGCGCAGATACCCAGGTGTCCATCCGTACCGGTGAGCCAAATTATCCACCCAGCCAGGACTCGGACGGCAGGGTTGCACGAACAGTAGATGGACCCCGAAAGGTGTAATTATCTTTCGAGATTTGCGTTTGTTGTGCGCCGGCCCTGGCATCGGTCTTTCCTTTTTGGTTTCCATGTTTACTTAAGCTGTAACAAGCGGCTCATCTTGAACATCAAGGTTACCGCTCAAGACGGTGGCCATCAAGCGCAGTCGGGGTTTGTTTTGAACTCGCAAACGACGAATAAACATGTCAAACCGGATATCCTCCATACTCCAACCCTTAGTCTAGTTTTCATGTCCAAGTGCAAAATTCGGACGGACTGCAACATGTCATGGCTCCCCATTCCCGCTCCCCAATATCTCATCTCTCTAATACCTACATTGAAAAGAAACCCCCTTTTCCTTGAGACATAGTGTACGTTCCGATGACCGATCGTTCTTCTCAGATTGTCAGTCGGCCGAAACACATTCCCATGTCTAGCAGAGCCATAGACGCATACACGGAAAATGCCGCCAGGTGTGTCCCTATCTACCGTCTGGTTTCTCATCCCATCTGAGATGGGAATTAGCTTTTCTTTGACAGCACTGGCCCGGCCCGCGAACCACAGCTGCAGATGAAATCTGATTGAAAAGTGGGGCTATATTCGCCGGTGAAGGATTTCTACGAATAGCACACTGCACCGGCTCCACACCTCTGACCGAGAACCTGTCTAAACTACGATACAAGGACATCTGTGGAACCTTGTCAAACGGCGCACATGGTTGTTGATCGACAGATCCCAGCTCACAAACACGCCACCCGCCGTTAAGACAATGTCTTCATACTTTATGAGTGGAATGCTGGCCTTCAGTATCCAAGACATGCACAAACCTTGAGCCCGGTGGATAGAAAGATCAACAGAATGGCTTCTGATGTGAACGTCGCCCAGCTAGGGGATGATCTGACATTGGTTCCATTTAGTCTACCCCTTCTGAGATGGGATGTATATTGTGTATCTCGGTCATTCCGACGTTCGGCTTCGCACTTCGCATACAGAAGTTAACTGCACAAATCGACCAACTGGACATGCAGGACGCAGGCGTACGTGTCGGCTGCTGCAATGCGCAATGGCGGAAAACAGGCATACCAAACAAGTTGACTACACAACAGCACTATACCATGGTAACAATCAACACTTTTCCGCCCATGCTCATTCTCACCGCTTCGTCATGATCGTCAACCTCGTGGCCATCTCCGCCTCGGCTCATCAGAAGCCTTCAGTCGTGTTCCTCAAAAGAAAAAGTTGCCGGAATGCGTCCTGCCGTACCTCTGTGAAACAAGCAGGCCCTGGTGAGCCTATAGAGAGGAAGTCTTGGCCAAACCCAAGAGAATATGTAGAAAACAAGGCTACCTGCTTGATGAAAATGAAGAAGGAAGAAAAGGAAAAGGGAAGGGAAGAGAACTCCGATTCCCATGCCAGAACCTTCGAAGCCACTTACTTGTCTTTTCATGGCCCGCCCGCATTGCGCCTCTGCACGTCGCTAATGGTGCATCCCTGCACTCCCAAAACAATGATCCAAATGGAAAGTATCGCCACCCCCCTCTACACCCCGACGCATTTCCTCCGCCAACTACGACTTCGACTAATATGCCCACATTTGGGGCTGCCAATCCCGCTGGAAGAGTTGGCTGACAAAAAAGTATGGTTGCTCGTACTGATTGGCCTGCTGGACCTCTTCCCACTCATGCTCTGTTGCCAACGCATTAGCCACTGATCCCATCAGGTGTTCGGCCCCTCACTGCCAACCGAAGGGAGACTGTCATAACCAGCCATCTCCCTGCACGCCAAAGGACTCCGAGGGGTGGAAGAGCAGCTTCATCTTGACCGCAAGGGGGATGGGTGTTGCCACTTACTGTGAGCCATGGCCTGAGATCTTGTCCAGTGGATGAATTGTACCGCGTCTTCGTCCAGCTGCGCCAGCGTCCGTAGATCTTGGTCTCTGCACTCTTCGGAAAACGGATAGATTCCTTTATTGCAGTAGTGGAAATACGCCAGGAGAATCGTGCCTCCTGTCCCGTCAATCTTTCGTCAGCATGTCTTACTCAACAGAATGAAAAACGAACGAAAAGGGGCCACCGTGACAGATAAAACTTCGCGCCGGCCCGCTGTTCTCCTTACCCAGGTGATACTCTTGAACGTCCAACTCCCGGGCAAACTTTTTCTACAGCAAATACAACATCGACGGTTAGCAACGTCTTCTTGGCCTGGCGGGTGCCTGCAGGCAGTCTGATTAGGGTCACTTACACCCATGCCGTGCTTCTGTGCGTATGAGGCATCATGTTCCGTAACGAGCGCGATGTTGTGCAGCAGCATAAAAGTCACCAGGTACGTGGTCAACCACGTCTTCTGCTTGTTCTGGAGCGTCATCTTCTGCAGCTTCTCCAGCATTTCTCGCCGAAGTCTGGCCTGTATGTGCTGGATGAGAACCAAATCCAACTGAGCTCCCATTACTGGCGGAAGAGGGATACATCCATGTTGAGGGCTGCTGCTGTCGAGTATGTCGCGGCTCATGCCGAGCGTCTCCTCGCCTACAATCTGGACTGACTTGGTCGTTAGGCGTACCGCCATCCAGAGCTCCAGTGTTTGAACCAAAAGGTCCCGTTCATCTGGCGGTGTGCTGACGCTCTGCGACAGTTCCCAGGCTTTGAGATACGTATTGTAGATCAGCTGGTCCCGGACACCCATCTGTACACTCATTACACTCTCAATGACTGATTTGAAGCAGCCAACGACGCCTCTCTTTATGTAGTCTTCGTAGGCTGCTTGTGCTTCGTCGAGGTTCGTGATGGCGTACGCAGGAATCGCGACGGACTTCTTGACGCCTTTAGCGACCCAAGTTCGCTCCAGCTTGTCACCAGGTTGCGGGATGAACTTTCGCACGTGCAGTTGCACGCACATGTCAACAGGCGTATACCCTTCCCACAGGCGGACCGTCTTCACCTCATTCGACGCCCAATTATTGATGTTGTCTACGATGCCGTTGCCCCAGCGCCGTGTCCATTCATAGCCAGGCGCCTGGCCTCTCTTGAAGAAGTTGCATTCTGTGATCTTGCGACGCACGCATGGCTGTCGGAAGAGTTGCTTGTGGTGATTGTTGGTCGTTTTCGGCTTGCACCCAACACATGGACCCTTCGGGTCGTCTGGGTCAGTTTTACACTAATCTCATCAGTAACTGTACACAGGTGCGCCCGATCCACAGGGAGTTCCACGCCGCTTACCCGGACTCGTTGCATTTTACAGCGGATGCAAGACCCATTCTTTCTCGTTACAGCCGTCTCTTCCCGTGCCTTTTGGTCTTTGAAAGGGCCGCGTTTGGAAGCTGGTGGTCGCTGGTGAGGGAACACAACATCGAGGCTATTGCTACGGGCAGACATGTCCGCGTCCTCGGTTTTGACGCACGGCATTGCATAGGTGGGCGCCAACGCAAAGCTGGTTGCCCTTGCGGGGATGGATGAAGTAGGGGAAACCGCACAAGTCACAGCCATGCCCATCATGTTGTCGTCGTATGGACCTGGCATGCCTTCTCTTGTAGGAATATGACGATCGGTGTTACCAAGATTGGGGAAATTGATGGGATCACCACCTGGGATAACTGATGCGTCAGGATAGTACACGGACGTCGATACGTCAACCGGATAGACGACGGAGTCATGTCCGGAGTTCCGGGGTGCCATTGTATGACTGGGACTCTCTTGTAGAGTTTGATATTGTGGCGCGTACGTGCTCACCATTCCAGTATCTGCGACGGGGAAAGGATTTGATACACTGGGGGCGATTGCAGGAGGGACATATACTTCTGGCTGAGAGATTTGCGCAGAGGGTGGTTTCTCAACCTCATACGGCCTATTGAGGCTGGTCCCGTAGTTGTATCCGTTCGCCTCGGTTCCGGAGAGCGGCTCGTAAACTGCGAGACACGTCAATCAAACGACTCGGGAATGGCTTGGCCATCCACAGTAATACTTACCACCATTAGAAACGCCGCAAGGGTTCCAGCAGCTCCGGCACATGACCAGTGCCATGGTCTGTAGTCCTTCGGTCCATCCGTTGAGACCCGGGCCTTGAAAGCCCGGAGGTAATTGCTGGGGACCAATACCGTCGAAGACATGGTGACTGTGGTGTCCAACAGGTCGGGACTTATCTTCAAACTCCGGAGAAAGGGAGCCGTCTTGGTAGTGAGGCGACATGGAGTAAGATTGCATAAGCCTTTGTCTTTTGGGGTTGTACTGGCTTTGCAACAAGTTGTGTGAGAGTAGTTGGTGAAGTTGAGCACCAGGGAGATCGTAAAGTGACGCGACTTGTGAGATGAGGAATTGAGTGTCGGGCGAGAGGTTAGAGAAGTTAGGGTCGAGAAATAGAGAGAATGACGGGTTTTGCTGGGATGCCAGCACTGTGATAGATTCGTCCTTGGGGCAGGTAGCCCGGCGCTTCCTGGGGTTATTATTCTAAGACGAAATCAATTCACCGCACATTCAGGAAGGGGGGGGGGGGATAGGGCAGACGGGAGAGGGGGCTGGCTGATCAGCAAATATGAACAAGCCGGGGCCAACGAAGATATGAGGGGACGATGTGTGTGTCATGGAGCGGGTGGTGGACGGCAGCTGGGCGCGAGGGATAATGGGGAAGATCGGTGATATATCCCCATGCACGCTGCCGCCAGCCGGGAAGCAGGGACATCTCTTACCATGATTGATGCAATAAGAGAGGGTGTGTTGGACAAAGCCTAATAGCAAGACCAAGTACCACAATCTGTGGCATGTATGAGGTATGCGGCAGAGACAGGCAGTAAAGCAGGAGTGAGCGAGCAGGTACAGCGAGGCACAAGGGGAGCGTTGAAAATTGCGCCTCACCGGGAGGGGGTGGGGGAGCTACGGTCTCACGAGAGCCATTGCCACATAATGGCACCCCTTGTGCGCGAGTGGAGAGAGGGCAAGGTAGGGGAAACGAGAGGAGGTTGATGACTCGGCCAGGACCAAAAGGCGGAGTGAAGAACAAGCCAGTGTAGGTAGGAAGTAGAGGAGTGGAAATGAAAGTAGGGTAGGGAGTCAAGCTAGAATGGGGTCGTGAAGAGAGACAGAGAGGCCCTGCTTGACAGCAGACACTCGGCCGAAACTGCGGGGGGGGAGGCGGAAGAGGAGGGGAGAACCAAAGGAAGAGACGGCAACACTGCGTGCGTCTGTGGGCTTGGATATGTCGCTCTCCTTTTTTTTTCCCTTAGAGAGAGGGGGGTTGCTCCTGCTGCTGCCTCACTTTCTAGCTTTCTAGAAATCTGCGTCGATTATCTTGGGGATTTGCTGATGTCGCAGACGGTCGCTGTTGCCCGTAGTTTGGTGCTGCTCGTCTCGATGTTTTTCCCGCTCGGCGCGATTTTGAGACGCTATCGCTCTCGTTGTTGGCTTGTGGAGCACAGCGTTGCGCGCGCGTTGACAGGCCAAGATCAGAGAGCGTGCCGATAGAGACTCTATTGCTGGCGATTGGCGTAGCCTGTGCTGGTCGGTCAGTCTGTCGAAGGAGTCGAGGCTGGAATGAGAAGACTCGGTGAGAGGAAGTTGAGGAAGGGGGCTGCACCCGTGCTGAATTGTATTTCACCGGTCTGAGGGGTACTCGTGAGAGGACAGGGATTTTTGAGACCGCGCCACGCGAGAAGAGGAGCCCAGCATCTTCCCGCCCCTGCCGAGTGGATGGATTTCAGGCTGTCCGTCTGATGGGAACAGACCGACAGGGATGGTGGGAAAGATACCATGGTACTCGGATGTGGTGAGTTCTGCTGATCATCATTCTGCTTCTCTGTTCCGTCTTGTGTAACCAACAGCCGCTGTATACTTCGTCTGCAGGGCAAAGGAGCAGTCATAATGCTTGATCCACTGACGCTCCCTCTGCCTGTTTATTCCTCAAGACGGTTAACGGTCGTGTCGCTTCTGGCTATTGTGCACTTCGCGCACTGTAGTCGGTTGATTTCGGGAAGCGGAAGGCTGACCAAGGCTATCTTTGGATATGAGTACTTACTTATTGGTGAAGCGTCATCATTGATACCATGCAGGAGACGACGTGATCAAAGACTGGGAATCATCATAATCCCGCCCCGCTTACGACGTGTGCTGTGCAACCAATACGCCGAGGCAGCCAACCACCGGCTCACCTACTTTCTCGCATCTGACCCCCAAACTTCTCGACTTTCCATCGGAAAGCGCCACGGTCCCGAAGGTCTGACACCGTCCTACCAGCCTGCTTACTCACCCATGGTATTTCGCCTGCGGGGTCAAGACGAAGTAGACGTCTGAGGAAATCAGGGATAGCTGCGTTGCTCAGTTCCTTTGGAGAGGTACACCTGTCTTCATCCAGAGGCTGCCACCGCTCATCCATAAGACTATACCCAAGAGATAGTGTCCATGTGTCAGTCAGGATACGATGCCCTCACATACCGGCTACGTGTCAGTACAGCCAAGATGAATACGACGAAGATTCCCGGAAGGAAAACAATACTTCTCCTTCTTCTCGAAGCCAGGGTCGGTCGGCTGGTTCTCAATCATCTGCTGATTGGCTCAAAACAACCGTCATCTGTCGGCCCATCAGCCAGTCGACAGTGCTATTGTGCACATATGATTGGAAGGAATTAGCATCTTCAATCCTTGACAACAACGTAGCCGCTCAGCTCCAGGAACCGGGTGAACATCCATCGCCACCAACACCTGCCACAACTGCCTAATCCGACATGGCCTGCCAAAAGTACTAGGTAGGCTGTCTTTTGGGTGTGCCGTCAACGGGTCTGCCGGTCATGGGAAAGTGAAGCTTGCAGGACATGTCCCAGCCGCCTCATGTTTGCCTACAGGCCCTTGACCGCCCTTGGAGTCCCCACACCTCCCCCCTGCCTGGTCTTCGTGTGTAGTACCCCATGGCGGACGGTCGCTGGACCGCAAGGGGACCCCATTACCGAAAGGTGATCCAGATACCTGGAGAAGAAATTATGGCATTGTGACCGGTCCACTCGTAGCAGGGGACACTGCATTAGTGGTCTAGGAAGGCATAGCCATTCCCAAGATATCGCATGTGCCGTTCTAGCAACAAGCGAGAGGATGCAGGCTGCTGTGCTGAGCGAATCAGTAGCCCAGCAGAACGCAAACTTTTTGTCTTCCCCCCTCTTTCATCTTGGAAAAATATGTCGGTCAACGTATTCGGCCATTTCTCTGACAAGGATATACAAGGGCGTCTGTCGAACGCATACCCTGCAGGGGCGACCGCCGCTGCCGCCAATGACGACTACCTTAGTCGACGCAGCTGATGAGATCAGGGAGCCATCCACTGACGGCCTCTTACCAAATTATCGTACAACGTTTCTCTGCAGCCGCCCATGTTGAGCAAGTGAGGCAGGCGGTGGCCGTCGAGCGGGATCCCTGAATCAGGCCTCGATGTTCGTCGGATGCACAGGTTCATCTCGCTGACGGATACGGTTTTGACTCGCAAGCAAACTTCCAGGAGCGAGACCCCGGAAGGCGGATGTGGTGGGACGAAGGAGACGGTAGCTGACTTAAGCTCAAAAAGGCGACCGGTGAGCTGGGAGCCTCCTCGTATGTGGATAGCTACGTTACTCAACGGGCCCAAGGCCATCGGAGGGCTCGAATGACGATATCGTCCGTGCACATACGCGCTAATTGATGCGTGGCCCACTTCCGTTAGCATGTGCGAAGAAGTAGGGAAGGTCGCTGACCAGGAGAGCGAGCGAGCAGCTGACAAAATCCGGATCGATGAATTTTTGGCGATATGCCTGGTCTTCCATTTGGCATTAATCACAACTGGCCCGACAATTCTGCTTGCAGTCTGGATCAATACCAAGGCGGCCACCGAGGTGATAGATAGTGCCTGCGGTGCTTAAACTGTTTTTGCTCTGGGGTCGCGGTCCGCAGACAAGACAAGCGGCCGGCTTAGGCACTATGCAAACAGGCATCGGCGGAACCTGCGGGCAGGGAAGAGAGCCTGGAGCCTGAGGCGTTCGGTCAGTAATCTTCCGCGGGCGTCTGCTTGGTTCGATTTAACCTACCTATCCATCCGTCCGGTGTATCGTAAGTTTACTTGGTACACTTGCATAGACCGGTGGTTACGGAAGGAGTTCCATTGCTCCAGTCTTAGCGGAACAAGGCAATCCTTGCATGTCAGTTGAGCCAAAGTGGCTGGGCGGATGGGAAAGCCGGTTAACAGCATCGGCTATAGAGTGCATGTACCCATCCGGTGAGGATGAGGGTCCGAGACTGCCGCCAGGCTGCAGCACCCAGCTTGCGTACGAGTGGCGGGGAGACAGTGGCTCTTGTGGTTTTGTAAAGGTCGTGGCAAATAACCATTTGTCTACTTGAATTTCGCGAAAGCAGGAAAGCCGAGGCCTGCACTACGGCCAGCTGCACGGGCGGGCTCCAGGGAGCAGCAGCTTCTTGCCGAGATGCAGAGTGTCCTCGGCGTCTGGACTTGTTCTGGCGGAATATTGAATGGGTGCAAGGGTTGTACCTACGCCGTCGGCCGGGCGTGAAGGCGGCGGGAACTCATCAAGTCACTCCGGCGTGCGGTGGCGGTACGTGGTGTTTCCAAGCTCGCAGAGGTAATGTAGCGTACACAGGTTGGTGGTGGGTGGAGATGCAACCCCCCAACGACTGTGTGGTCGGCACTGGCTAGAGCAATTCGAAGAAAGGTGTACCCCCACAGAATCTGCGAGTCAATACGAAAGGGCCAATGAGTGTTTTGTTAGACAGGCGCCATGCAGCGAGGAAACAGTAACTGGACGATCCCGTGTTCGCAAGGTTTGACAGAGTAGAAGGCGAGGCCGTGGGCTGCGCCCGAGTGTCTGCAGCCTGGTAAGGTGTGAAGGGCGATTGCCTACCTACCTAGGTAGAGTATGCGAAGACCAGTACGGATACAGTGGCAGCAAAAGGGAAAGGCAGATGCGAAGACCAGGCCCGAAGTCCAGGTCCGGGAAGGAAAGGGAGTTTCCTTCCCCCACCTTCCTCGTCTTTCCGTGCCGATTCCGTCACGTGGAGTGCACCCCCGGTTCCGGATCCTGTGGCCCGGATGCAGTGTCAAAGCTTCCAGTGACAGCGCGAAGGCACAATGAGACGGGAGGAGAAGCAGTAAGTTCGTGCGTCGTTAGCGCGCGGGTATCAACGACGTGGAAGGCAAAATTGTTCCTGGTACTTTGATCCGACGACGAAACACGCCCCCTTTAGCTAAGACAACTAGCTATGTATGGCTCGGGAACCTGGAATCCTAAGGGGCAGGAAGATGTGGAGGATGGGTACCTTCCCGCAAATTCGAAAAGCGCATTGGAGGGCAACCCAGGTATACTAGTTTACGTGCGGCTGTAACATGTCGGGAGGATCTCAAGGTACCTAGGTCGGTAGCAAATGATATACGACTGGTCAGGTAGGTGGTTTGCAAAGGTACGTTCCTTCTCAATGAGACGCTGCGACGTTATAGGTACGAATACAGCATCTAGATGGATGAGGATGAGGGATGGCGCGTCCCGTCCCTTCCTGTTCCTCCTGTTTACAGATACTTCCTCCGTCTTTACATACACCAGTAGGGCGCCGTCTATCTCACCGACGGAAGGGCCAGCAAGCATGATTGGCCATATCTGAAAGTCTTGCCCTACCCCTTTGGAGTTGAGCGACCAAGAACAAGCCATGACATGACCGATTCCCGGTTCACCGGTTGGCATGGCTTATTTGGCGATAACGTACCAACCTGCCTAGAGCTGGAGACAAGGTACCGAGCCTACCAAGGGATCGAGTCGCTCTCACTTCACCGGTCCTGATACTGCCTTCCTGATATGCACAATCTCCTTATCCTCACCCTACATCAAGTTGGGTTACCCGCACGGGGCATTCCGCACTACCCATGCCCCACGTTCCTGATCTGAGCATCGTTTGAGGTTGCAGCGGCGGCACCCATCTCGAGCGTCTGTCGGATGCCAGCCCCAGGCAGTTTGGTCGCGCGGCCGTAAGGAGGCCGTAATCACATATCACCTGCCTACCTTAGCTACCGCCTACTACACAGACTCGCATCATGTCTGCCGCGCTTTCGGCACATATAGGTTGGCAGAACGAATGTGATACGTGAGACGAACTGACTTCCTGAGCGAGAGCACATGTAGCTGACGGTCGATTTCTGTCGCCTTGTGCTCCGAAACGCTTAGCTCCTCCAGCAAACGATCTTGCCACGGTACGTACGCCACCTTTAGGAGACCTACCAGACGAGGTTTACCCTAGAAAGGAAAAAGGAAGATAGAAGAGGAAAAAGCAAAAACTGGGCCGCGACGAACCGCTGAGACCAAGGAAACAGCCTGGGAAAAAGAAAGACCTGTGAAACGGCACATGGGTGCCGACTCTATCTAGGTACGTTACTCTACTGAATACTCCTTCTTCCTTTTTTTTTCTTCTTTCTGATGCAACCCGAGAGTCCGTCTCCAAGAGATTCTACCTTCTCATTCTTCGACAGCAAGAAAGGAGCAAGCGGGGAAGTGCACTTTCTCCCTCCTGCCTGTACTTTTGCCCCCGGTAATCCTTTCCCCTCTTGAGCCGTGAGGCACTCGCAACGGCCGGTACAAGCTAGTGGGGCGACGGCTGCCTCGGTAAATGCAATTGGCCTGTCTCCAAGGAAGAGGAAGGAAGCAGGAGAAGCCCGCCACATACCTACACTCACCAAACACACATATGCCAGCCTGCCAACCTACCAGTCTCGCTATGACACAACACATGGACTTTTTATCATATCTCTCATTTTCCTCCCACAAGTAGCCTTGTCGGAGCCAACCAACACCCTTTTTTTCCCCTCTCCAACCCCGACAGCACCATCAATCCTTCTCCTCGACCAATCGCACGGCATTGTTCCCAACCAGGCCTCCAGCTGCGGCTACACTGCACGAACGCAACACACAAATAAGACCCGGCATTGTCTTTGAGGATCCCCACGTCCACGGTCACATCCCGAGTCGGTCGATTAGGTACCCAGCTCACCTCCCCACCCCCCCCTTCTCGGGGGAGCTTGTCAATGACATGAGCAACTTGAACGCATAAGCTTAGATAGAACCTTGGGCGTCTTGTGCCATATCGCCCCGCTGTCTATCAGGCATTTTCCTACCAGTTACCACCGAAGGGCTTGTTTTGCTGCTACGGGGTTCTACTCACGTTCTACTGAATTCATACGCTGCCAACCTCAACTCACTGTTATCGGAAAGGGGAAACAAAATGGAGTTGGGGTCGGATATAATACACGATATCGTTCATCCCACGGCAGCCTTCTCTGAAGCCTTTCAGGTTCGTGCGAACCATGACGGTGGCGGCGGTTCATTTCAGTTGCCGCCAGCGGGTTGGGAGGCTTCTCAGCTGAATCCCAAGAACCGCGTAGACAGCCTCGACCATCTTCCGGATCCTCTATGGCGTATCGATGGCTGCACAGGACTAGGGACCCAATTCTACGTTATTCCGCTATTTCTTCGCTGCGTACCGCCCATCCGCATAGATGCCTTTATTCCGGAGCAGTCAAGTCAGCCGTATGAAATTCGACAGCTGCTCGACTTGGATATGGCCTTCCACACCAAGGACCGAGCTCGGGTTCAAGAACTCAACATATCCAAGCACATGCTTCGCGCTTTGCAATTTTGGACGAAATCTCTACCAGAACCAGAAGCACTCTTCACCTCCGTACCATTCGGATCTCGTATCGTATTCAAAACTCTAGCTCTGGATATCAGAGCCATGGAAATTGACGTTGCGCCAACTTACTACCTGGAACGACAATTGCTTTCGGCGTCTGCCTTGGCTGATATGTGGGGTACTACAGTCCAACTGCCAGAATGCATCGACATCTTCGATGTTCACGTTGTCGAGCAGATCCATGACAGTGTGTGTCTTGTCCGAATTCATGATCGCCTTTGGATTCTCAAGACTTTGACGAGTTACACCAAGTATTTGTATCACGAACTCAAGCTGTTGCTGTCAGCGAAGCCACATCCAAACGTTATGTCACGACCAGCCCGCCTCGTCACGAAGCGATGCAGCTTTGGTAGCAAGATAGCCGTCGTCGGTTTCACGCTCGAGTATCACCGTCATGGTACCATGAGAGACATCGTGCCACTCCAAAGAATCCACAACACGTTTTCCCCCGCTGAACAATTCAAGTGGTCCATACAAATTACCTCGGGTGTGTTGCATCACCGCAAAACCTCTGGCACATTTTACCCGGACCTTCGTCTCGACAATGTCGTCATGTCCAAGGATGGAGATGCCATCATGGTTGACTTCGAGCAGCGTGGGGTATGGTGCGAGTTTGCCTCCCCTGAAATCAATGCTATCGAGTACATCCGCTTGCTGGCCACTGACGAGGATATTCCGGACGACGTCAAGGATAAATACGCTGAGATACTGAGGCGCATGTGCCCTAATTTCGAGGCCCTACAGAACAGAGAGGAGTACACGAACCCCGCCGACGGATACAATATTTGTTGGGCATGCCTCAGTCCGAAAGAGCAGGAGGCCGCCGAGGTGTATATGCTTGGAAGGGTATTGTGGTGTATCTTTGAGGGCGCTAGTGCTCCGCAGCAAGCTGCTGTTTGGCAGTCTTATCGATGGGAGGCAGAAGTCGACTTTCCAGCTTATCTGAGGACACCGACAAAATTAAGGTCACTAATCGACCGGTGTACCAGTGGTCGTCGAGCCACGTTGGGGAACCAAATCAGCAGAGATGGCAGCAGGCTGGTGTTCAAGGATTGCGAAAAAATGGCCGATCCGGGGGACATCCGCACGGCTGCGGCGACGTGGTGGAAGAGAGAGATAGCGTGGGCAGAAGCGTTCCTGGCCATGAGAGAGAATTCGAAATCGACAGGGGAGTGGGATGAGAATCACTTTGACAGACCAAGTCTACAAGAGGTACTGGACGAGCTCAACAAGCTACGCAATGAAATTTGAGTGCCTGTAATGGGTTGGCGGCGGAAGGGGGGGCGACTCTAATCATGTACAACCAAGAGGAAACACTGTAATCTGTCCAAGATGAAAAATGGTATTGTTTTGCAGATGGAGCAAACCCCAAAACGCCGAAGCCGTGACTTGCCCAGCCAAGTGGATATCGCAAGGCTTCGCGTCAAGGAGAAGAATCTACATAGGGGGCGGATAGTCTAAAAGAGTACAAAATGAGAAGGAACAAAAAGTATGTGGAGAGAAGGAAAGCAAAGGAGAACCAAAGCAAAAGCTTTGGCTAGGGGAAAGAGTGTCACGGACACCCAGAGGAAGTCGAAGCCTGGTGGGGAAGCCCGTCCTCGCCATACCCGGAACATTATCCCGGACCGCCTCTCCCGCTGCCTCGAAGAGAAATCTTTATCCCGCTGCGTTACTTCATCCTCTTAGATCCCCGGCCATACCCGTGGCCTTGGCCTTGACGCTTTGAGCCCGCACCCATCGAGGAGGAGGCGCCATCATCGATGCCGCCGTCGCCGTTGCCACCGCCACTGCCACCAGCCCTCCTCAGACGAGAGATGAGAGAGCGGAACTTTCCAACGTACGAGGCTGGCGCGCCGTTGATGCCTAAACGGTCCAATGTGTCCTCGAGGCTATGCAGGAACTGAGCGGCGGCGTCGGGCGGCAGGAGGTTCAGAACGCCGAGGACGAAGTCATCGTCACGATCGCCCACGAGACGGAGGTAGAGGTTCCGATCGCGGCGGGATGTCGCGGCGGCCGTCGCGGCCCCCCGGGGGCCCACGAAGTCGCGGTTGCGCTCGACGACGGCGGCGAGGATGTGGACGAGGGCGCGGGCGGCGCTGGTGCGCTCCCGGGGTTCTAGGGGCCGGTCACGCTTGAAGATTGCGGTGCGGATAAGGCCCACGACACCCGTGATGTGACGGGCGGCCCAGGACACATCGGGAGGGCCTTCCGCTGATGCTCCTGCCGTCGGAAGTGATAGTGAGGAGGAAGAGGAGGAAGAGGCCCAGATGTCCAGCTTGCGCAGGACACGGTCGACACGCCGGGTGAGCTTGCGGAAGGGATCGTTCACGGGGTCGGTGGAGCGTGTCTGGGAGAGGAAGTAGTGGAAGAACTCGTTGTTGTCAAGGAGCATGCGGAAGATTGTGCTCTCAAGGTCGTGGCGCTTCACGCGCTTCTTGCCTGTGTGCGGCGGGTCGGAGAAGAGATCTGGGCGGTAGCCTTCCGGGGAGCAAGCGGCAACAGCAGAAAGAAGTTCGCGGGCCTCCTGGACACGGTGCGGGTTTGGGTGCTCCTCTGTGTCGCCGTCAGAGTCAGGGTCAGAGCCAGAGTCCCCTGAGCCCTCCCTCCCCGGTTCCGGAGGAACGACATCGCAGCGGAGGCCGTCCGCCAGGACGTCCAGGTGGAAGTGCGAGATGGTTGAGAAGGGATCGCCGATCTCCTCCGGGTAGCCTTCCGTGGTCATGGTCAGTGGAGAGGTCGGGTCATGGTCGTACAGCGTCTGCTTGACGAGCTGGTCCAGAAGCCATAGGAGGTGTTTGCAAGGGACGCCATTCTTCTGCTGTTGCTCAAAACAAGAGCAACGGGGCGTCGCGAAGGGGCTGCCGGGGGCTCCTATGCGGATGGAGCGGGGCACCATCTCGGTCATCTGAAAGGCGTAAACATCGTCCCGAAGGCGACTGTACTGCAGGGAGAGACGGGGCGGGTCCCTAAAGGCCTCGCGGACGCGCAGGCGGGCGTCAGCGGAGAGCCTGTCGATTCTATAGGTCAGTCGTGAGGGGGATCGGACGACGGAAGGGTCATCGTCGTCTACGAGGGAGGAATCTGAATCCGTCTCGGGCTCGGAGCTGGAGCTTTCGTCATCGACATCGCGGTCAGAGATGACGTCGCCGAGGGACTGCCGGTGTGCTTGGGCTCTGGTTGTAGTAGGCATTTTTTTCCCGAGAGAAAGCTCTCTGAATCTTGATACAGGAGCGGGAGGTGAGGAGGAAGACATTGATCAGGCGAAGGAGCAATATAGTTCTATATGTTTCAGGGAGGCTGTGAGCGAAGAAGGGGTCTCCATGGTGATATGACATGTGGTTACTTATAGAGCTCAAGTTCAGATGACAAGGGATGATGGAAAGGGGGGCGGAGTGAGGCCAACGATGATCAGACCTAGAGGCCCAGAGATCCATGGCGAGTTGGCGAGGTTGGATATGGTCGGGAAACAGGGGTGGGAGTGAAGGAGAGGAAGATGAAGCTGAACAGGACCCGGTCAAGTTCTCGGCTATGACTGGCGAGCATCCAAGTCCCAGAGGGTGGGCTGTTTGGAGCATGGAAAGGGGAGGGGGGTAGCAAGCAGGAAAACCCATGGAAGAAAGAACAGCTACTTGCCGATCTGGCACCCACAGACTCGTGAGGGCTGGTCAGATCACCTTCTAGAACCAATTCCACTTTCCATTTCCATTTGCCTTTGCGCCTGAACCCTGGTCCGGGGTCCGCCATCTCGGTACCGTGCGAGAACAGGATGGAATGCGAGCGTGTGGGAGGTCGCCCAGGCAAGTGCAGATCTAAACTGACGCGGCATACGTAAACAAGGTCATCTCGGAAGGCGGCGGAAGCTGGCTAAAGTTGGGAGAGAGTTTGAGATTGTGAAACTCCACACGGGGTGGTTGCGACGATAGAACTTCAAGGCTCTCGCATCGAGGACTTTGTGCGTGGGGCAAGGTTCCGGCCTTTGCCCAGGGTATGGCAAAAAGCTACGATGCATGAATAAGATGGCGATGTCCGGAGAGCTCTTCTTGGGTACAGCTCATCAGGCAGCGTACGGCGGGGTGGAGAAGGAGGGCGGTGACATTGTGGCTGTCAATTGACAACTGGTCTCGAGCTCCTGGATTGTGGTTCGCCAGAGTGCGATGATTCATTAAATTGTTGGTCGATGAAATGGTGCGAAGTCGAAGTTGAGTCGGTAGGGGAGCATACTACTAGTTGCGGTCGAAGGTGGACACTCCTTCCCCCCTCCCACCCCTGCCAGATGAAGAACTTAATGTGGGGTTATTTCGAAGACGGAACCCTCCGCACGGCCGACGCCAAAGGGATGTTCCCCGTAGCTCCCTCCCTTGCCCTCCATTTCCCCATCTTCCATTCATTCAGCCTTTTCTGCCGGTTCGCCCACGAAGGGAAGCATCAGCCACCACTCGCAGCCTCCGTACACCTCTCATTGGCGAAAAGCCGTAATGACGGGTCAGGGGGTGGGCGCCCGCCATCACAGGCGGCCTTCCTCCAACTGGTTTCCTCCCCTTCCATGACTGTTTCCTTTGGGCCGCACAAACGGGCCGCTGGTACCCCACCGGGACTACACCATAAAGGGGAATCACAGCCCCCGAGTTGGCCGCCGAACGGGCCGGCCGGTTATGCGGCCGCGTCGCGAATGGCTCCACTTCCAGGATGACTTTAAGAGAATCGGAGCCTCCTCTGAACGTCCACAGCCTTCTTCGGGCCGCATCGTAGGCCGCATCGAAAATGCGGCCTTTTTTCGCTATTGTTGCTATGCTTCCTCCGGCCGTCATAACCACCTCACAAGGCTTTCTTCTTTCTTTAGATCCAACCTGTTGGCTATACCGCTCGGGGTGCCTTGCTGCTGGATGCCAAATGACGGTATGAAGAGGCCTCTGGGTGGTCTGCTCGAGAGACTCGAGCTAGTCGCTGCAGTCTTGGCCTGTCAGCCTCGATGGACATCATCGACCCAAACTTCCTCTTCGGCGTTCGCGGTCATCGTCCAATCAAGTTAGCCGGCGTCGACCGACTCAAACCATTGAATTTCCATCCATCTCTTGTGCCTGATGACTGCAGGGGCCTCGACGGACCAACCGACTGTGCTTGCAAGGCCAAGCTTCAACGGCTTTTTGGGGCAGACAACCAGGGTCAAAGGGGCTGTCCCGGTCATTGGGCAGAGACCCTGCACGTGTGATGAAAGGGTTATTTATTCATAGTATCGTCTTGAGTACTCTTGATATGGCTACGAACGTCGAGCCATCGCCAGGGTAAGCGGCCATCGCGCCTATGTGGCCTATTCTCGGGGCTCAGCAACCTCCGGAGAGGATACGGGCGTGACGCATGTTGCTATCATTCGTCTCTGTGCGAGGTTGCCTGTTGTTGGAGCAAGTGGCTGATTATCATATGACAGACTTCCGACATTGGCTGTCGACGTCTTGGGTGTTTTCGAGAAATGGATCGAGGCTATGCCCTAGTTACTCTACTTTGCACGACCAGGGAGGGTGACTTCACCTCTCACATAAGATGGCCCTTGCGGAATCCGTTCTCAACAAATATCCTGGCAAAACGCATGCTAGTTCTCTGGTTCGAGCAGCATATATACATGATTGGCATACTAGGTTAGGCAGCAGCTGGTACTTTTTTCTCAGACGTCTCTTCCCGGTCCTGCCAATCTTGTGTGGGTGTGCTCTTCAGACCAGACAAGGCAAACGCAAAAGGTACCGGGAAGTACCTACTACTGCGTTCAATGGGATGATATAATAGACCCGAAAGAGAATGTCGTAGAAGTGTGTAGCGCCATGACCGCCTCCGTCTTTCCATAGGCCACATGTCGGTGGTTGTCGGTGTTTCCAAAGCAACATATGTCATCACCTTTCCACTATCCGCCTAGGACATAGGTACAACCATCCTAATTGGGAAACTCAAGAGTCTCGTCCGGTCTCTCGAAGAAGTTAATAACAAAAAGATCGCTCATTGAAACCGCAGCTGCTATGATTATTAAAGAGTGTGTCTTTTATGTAGACAAAAGCTTGCAATTCGGAACCCCAGGATTGCAGGACAGTATCAAGTAAAACGAAGCTGATATGGCAGAGGTTTACATCACGAAAAGATTGACGAAACATGTAATTTACAAATTCATGACATTACGTCGAAAGAATAAGAGCTATGCTCTGCTCTATATGTATGCACAACAGCTCTGTGTGCCTGATCATGACTGCACCGAGCTTTTCTCTCCCCCACTTCATACCTACGTAACAAACGCTTTCCTACCTAGGGTATCAATCGCTAATCCTATGTCGCAAACCTTCATTTAATCACTCGAGCTGCCCGGGCTCTTGGGCCCGGCCTCGTCGTCGGCATGACCCCTACCCTCGCTGTTTGCGATGGCACTCTGCAACGCGCTTGTCAAGTCGACATGGAACAGCGGCCTGTTGAGACCGTGAACGACGACTCCCCTCCGTTTCCGACCGGCATCCTTCTGGGAGCCCAAGGAGACGGGGTCGATCTGATCGTATGCGCCGCTGTCCTTGCCGACTTCTTCGTCCACGGCTCTTGATGACTTGCCGTGGGACGATATTTGCTTCTCGTTGGCCTCCTTCTCCGCCGCAGCGGCGGCAGAGTCTGAGCCACCAATCTCAGCGACGCTGAAGATGGACTTCCACTGGTGCTGTAGGCCGTCGCTCCGGTCAACGGGGTAGCCGAAACCAGCGGCGACAAGCGCTCTCTTGGTCCATCTGTTGTTTATGCAGGCAATGTGCCAGTTCACCTTGTCCGGGGCGGCGTAGCGATCGAGCTGGTTACGGACATCAATGAGCTGCTGGATCGAAGTCAAGTCAACGTTATTGACGGAGCTGAAGTCGAGGATGATCGCCTTGAGCGTTGGCCTGTTCTCCTCCTCGTGCATCTGAGCCTGCGCAATCTTTGCCTTGCGCGATGGGCCGGGATCATTCCAAGGTCGGTCACCAAGACGCCCGTAAGCTTCCATGTTCGTCCGGCGAGTCCGTGCAAAAATATAATCAGTAAGGTATTCGAGGGAATGGCTGGCATTAGGGTAGTTAAAGCCCTCGGAAAAGCGGTAGATGAAGATGCCGGGGTAAGGACTGTCGAGAGTGACTTCGGGGTTGGATCCGTCGCCATGATCAATGGGTAAGAAGACGTTGCGCGCCGCGTTGTCGCTAGCGCTGAAGGTTCCGTACTCGCCAATGACTTGCCTGTGGTCCTCGCCGATAACATGATCGCCTACAACGGAGTGAATTTTGACCTTGCCAAGGAAGCGTCCCTGACCTCTCAATATACGCCATAGAAGCAGCACAGCGGAGATGCAGACGGTAGTATAGATGCCATTCTCGATGGACGAAAAGACGGTGACGAAGACACCGATGAAGAAAATGACGACTTCGAGAGGAGACACGCGCCAAAACTGGTAGACGGTGTTGGGCGGCGTGATCAAGTCTCCGACGGCGTGGATGATGACTGCAGCAAGGGAAGCGCTAGGAATGTAAAAGAACACTGCTGTCAAGGCGTAAATGGCGAGTAGGACGAGGAGACCGGTGATGACACCGGCGAAAGGAGTCCTGACGCCGGCCTTGGACTTGATGGCTGTACGGCTGAAGGAGCCCGTGGATGGATAGCCGCCAAGGAAGGGTGCGATGACATTCGTGACGCCGATGGCAACGAACTCCTGGGAGGGGTTGATGGTGTAGTTGTTAACACGACCGAAGGACTTTGAGATGGCAACATGCTCAATAACCAAGACGATGACACTGGCTGGCAAGAAGGGGAGGAAGGCACTAATAAGGTTGGTGTCGATCTTCGGAGTGCCGACATTCTGGAACCCTGGGTGACTAGTTAGTCAGGGATTTCATAAGTTTAGATACATTCCGCAACTTACCTCTAGGAACATTTCCCAAGATCTTGAACAGAGGGTGTGACCGCCTGTTCATGTTGACCAACCAGCTGATCATGGTGTAGAGAAGGATGACAAAGACCGTTCGCAGAGTCGAAAGGAAGAAGAAGAGCTTCGACTTCTGGGGGTGTCGCTTCGCGAGCGTTGTGAAGATAGATCGAAGAAGGTAAAGCATCGCAAGGGCGGTAAGGCCCATAGCAGCATCCATCTTCGTCTTGGGTAAGTTCTTGAGAGTGTTGATGAAGACAAGATAGGTGGCATCTCGAGTATTGACGCCCTTGATACCCATCAATGTGGCTAATTGGCCGACGGCAATGCTAATGGCGGAACCGGTCATAAAAGCCGACAATGAGGTCAAGGAAATCAGGTTGACAACCCAGCCCATGCGGATCAGACCGATGAAGAGGATGATGGCACCAGCAATGATAGCCAAAGCCGATGCAATCTGGTGACCTTCATACTGTGGGAAGTCTTTTTGTACATCCGTAATCAAGTTACCCACGACAGTTGACATGACGGCCACAGGCTGCATTGTGTTAGCAAAACGTACGACTCTTGTTTTCTTGAGAAGTTGAACGTACGCCTATGGTGATATCCTTAGACGTAGCAAAGAACCAGTAGATGACGACACCCATGAAAGACGAGTAGAGACCGAACTGAGGGTCAAGCTTTGCGAGCAAAGCATAAGCCATACCTTGCGGCACGACTACAGCGCCAACGGTGACACCGGCAACCAGATCGCCAAGGAACCATTGCATGTTGTAGTGCCCAATCCAGTTAAGGAAGGGAAACAAAGAGCGGAGGTAGTCAAGGGCTTGCTGGCCGTCGGGCAAGAGTTCGAGAAACCATTCGGCAGTTGTAGGCTCCTCCTCAACGAACGTGTCAGACGACTGGACCGAAAAGACGGATTCGCCGCGGAGCATCTCCTCATTCTGGGGTTTCTCGAGCTTGATGCCCAAGACCTTGGCCAGGCCATGGCCAATCTTGGTGCTCGTGCTCGGCATTGTGATCGAATCGGTTGAAGAGCGTTTGGAGAAAGAAAGGAACAAAACCCCTAAGGTGATTGTTTCTTTTTCGTCGAGCACGCAGTTACAGTCGCAAGCCGGGATCGAAAGCTGGATCTTCCTTGGGCTAAGGCGTTCAAGGAATATATAGGAGTCGCCGGGCTAATCGCCGTGCCACAGAGCTGAGTCCACACGAGTCACCCGTGGGATTGGGTGCTCGCCGGTGGGCTATCAGAATGAGATCCGGGGGGTGTAATTTGCAAAAGCTGATGTCGCAAGCGGTGACTAGATCGGTTCCGGTCTACAAACCTCGACAGGGTAAGCGATTTAAGGCAGGAGGCGAGAAGTTGACACCGCCAGAAAAAAAGAAGAAAAAAAGTCCTTGCGAGATCGCGCAATCGAGCGAAAGGACACTAGTTGGTCCAAGGCCGACACGGTGGCGAGCTCTGGGGTCCGGGTTCTTGCCAGTGAGGTTGTGCGACTGAAACAGAAGCTCTTCAAGACTTTGGAGGCTCTTCTAAGCTCTTGAAGACAAGCCGAGAGAGGCCGGCAGACAAGCTTTTAATCGACTACAGAGACTTCTGTAGTGGGGTGCCAAGAGAGGCTCTTTGGCACTCCCGGTGGACAAGACGATGGATCTCGTGGGCCAAGAGATGTGGCTCCGGATGACGGATGACGGCGGCAGCCAAGAAATGAGCGTTGCAGAAGAGCCTAGGAGGGAACGACGGCGACAAGGAGAAAATCCTGACAGGGTGTGGCTCAATTCATAAAAGCCAAACGTCTAAGGGCCGATAGCGCGGGTTTAATAGGCGAGAATGCTGGTGTCAGTCAAAAGATCTTTGTCGGTGGTGGTATCCGCACTCCTCCCGCAATATCTGTAGTGTACACACATAGAAACCGGGGCGATGTCGCCATCGAGTCTTTGCCTTTCAAAGCTTAGTGGGGTCGGTCGATGGGGGCCAGGGATTGATTGCTGCGAGCCCGATTATCTTATACCCACAGGAGGGAGGGACCTGCGGGAATGGCTTTCGGACGGGATGACCGCAAACTTCTCATTAAGCGCCATGGGCGAAGCATATCGCGTGGGGGAACGGACCATGTGAGCTGCGGTCTCACAGAGGTAGTTGCGCGACCCCCCTTTCGTTCTCGTCCTGCGCTCGACTCAACTCGCAATTACTATGCTTTGTAGACGACGGAGTAGAGAAAGCTCGGGATTCGCCTGGCGGAGAACCTGAATGTCGTCAGTCATGGTGATGGAGTAAGTAATGCCTTGTTCAGTTGCAGTATTATGGAGATGCTGGAAAATCAGAACTCGGGAAGCTGATGGTCAGACGAGGTACGCACACCACTGCTTAATAATTAATAGGTATGTACAACACTGTGCGGCTGTTCCCAGTTGTGCAACAGAGTTCCACGGCGGAGGAACGAGTCTCCAAAGAACTGCCGCTTTGAGCCCAGCACCAACTACTCTGACCAGTAAGCTTCAGCTTCGGCAACCTGGCGATGGTGCAATAGCACCCTGGTTTGAGGTGATGAAATAGTGTAGTGGGGTGAGAGGGTGCGGAGATGCTCTGCCTGGTTGGTTGGACCCTTCTTGGAGTGGCTGCTGGTTTGGCCAGGTGTGGTGCAAAGCTTTGCCAACATGATTTCCGGACCAGGTTGCCCCTTGATCCTCCGACAGCAGATTTGTAGATGGCCAAACTCCGCGGAGCGCAGTGTGTTGCAACCTGTGATGGCCATTGGGCAAGCGAACCAGACAGTGAAAAGCATATGCGGTTGCTAGCGGGATCCGTACGGGTCGTCAAACGTCATACCTACTGCGTAGGTACGGATACCTGTACGAAAATCCGCCTACCTGGGTAGGCAGGTAGGCTTAGCTTTCAGCTTACGTAGTCGGCGGCCAACAACCCAGATACACTGTGGCACCCGTGACGACAAGGTTGCGACATGCGCTGACATAATACATAGTAGGTAGGCATTTCCTATCGCTGGATGGAGTTTCCGTCCCGATGCGGAATATCTGCTGTGGTCCAGAGTTCGGAACATCCGATCTTATCGGGGTTTGTGTGGCTTGCATCTTGGCTTGTGGCTAAAAGCTTAGTCCAAAATGAACTATGGCGCAGCAAGTGAATCCTCATCCAGGCATGAACGGATTGCCTACCGCCCATATTATTCGCCGAACAACCGATTTGTTAATTCCTATGGATTGCGCATTCTTGCTCATTGGCCCCTCCCAACAAAGTGTTGGTAGTATTATCGGTTATTATAATCTTGGTTAATTCAGGCCGAATCCTTGTCTCCAAGAACAAGGCGTTGTTAGGAATCCTTTTCGTTCAGCCCTCTTAAACTTAGACAACGCCGAATGAATGAGTGGCCATTAAAGCTGATAAACGAGTGTGTTGGCCCAGTCGGCGGTGGAAGTGCACCGAATGGCCAAGAGGACGACGCTGGAACGCGAAAAAACACGGCGGTTGGCAGTCGCGAGTGCTCCCCGGGCAACAGGTACGCCTTAGTCAGAAAGCAACACCAAGCCGCCAACACCTGCAATGCTTGCCAACGACACCACCAAGACCAGAATCACCAACCTCCTCTTCCCCCCGCCCTGGGCCAAAAATAGTAGCCCACGAGGTGTTCGACACCTCGCTACGCCTATAGTCGCCTCCTCTTCTTCTTCTTTTTTCCCCACCCTCTTTTCCTGTCTCTCTCTCTCTCGTTCTGGCCGTCTTTCGACCCCTTGCCTTGCCCTGCCTTTGTTGTTTTTATTTTCGTATAATCGATTGTAATCCTCCACAGACCCAACGTGAACGTAGCTGTCGACCTCTCCCTTACCAGTCGCCAAGATGTCGTCGAGTCCAACAATAGACCCATTCGACTCTCCGGCGCACGCTTTTGGGCAATCTCAAGCCATGACGACCGAATTGCTCCCGCCGCCCTCGCCGCGAACGCATCGTCTCCGTAAACTGCAGTCGGCGCACAACCTGGGGTCCAAGGCCGCCCTCCAACTGCAGCCCCAGCATCAGCCCTCATTGATTGCGCAACAGCGCTTGACGCAGCGGAATATTTCTCCGACGCGCCGAGATCCGAGTGCCTCTTCCACAATGGTTCGACACACTCGAGGACGATCCAACAGCGATGCGCCGGCTCCGGTGGCCCATCACATGACTGCCATGGCCTCCAGCAAGCGTAGCATGATGGGCATTAATCCGAAGTATGCCACCATGTCTCTTCAGCAACTCATAAAAGAGGGTCCGCCCAACGGAGATACTGTTGAAGCCCTGGGCATGGCTCGCCGCAAGGTTCTGAGCGAGGGCATCAAAAGCGACAGCGACGGCATGGTAGAGCACCCTTCCCCTCCTCGCTCCCCCCTTTTTTGCACCTTTTCGTGTACTAAACTAACGTGGGCTCGCGCAGTCAACTTTGCGCATTTATGTCTGGCTGATCCTGCTGGACACTCCCATCCTTCCCACCGACGACTACCTTGGTCTCATCCACCGCGGTGCCTCTCCGGCCTACTCCAAGATTCGTAATGACACATTTCGCACTCTCACGACCGATCCTCTCTTCAGACGACGTGTCAGCGAAGCCAGTTTGATCCGCCTTCTCAATGCTGTGGCATGGCGTCTACATGATTCGCGCGAGGAGCAGCGGAGAGAACGGCCGAGCACCGGCAGGAGTTCTATATCGCAGGACAGCTCGACATCCACAGCAACCGCCCACTCGCAGAACCCGGCCTCGTCGCCGAGCGCCAGGAACCGAGCAAGAGCTCTGACATTGACAACGGAAGGCTCCGAAACCAGTCATGCAGGGGAGCCGGGGACATACGTTCAAGGGATGAACGTCCTAGCCGCGCCTTTTCTATACGCGGCAAGGAGCGAGTCTGAGGCCTTCATCGCCTTCTATACCCTGCTCACACGTGAGTGTCCCGGCTACATACGCGGCGCTATGGACGGTGTGCATAAGGGTCTGGCTTTGGTCGACAAGGTTCTCGCAACCGTCGACTCAAAGCTTAGCGGCTATCTCCACTCCAAGGGCCTAACGGCTGAGATTTACGCCTTCCCCTCGGTCCTGACCTTGTGTGCTTGCACCCCGCCGTTGCCCGAGGTGCTTCGCTTGTGGGACTTTCTCTTCGCCTACGGACCACACCTAAACATTCTTTGTATTGTGGCCCAGCTGATGGGCATGCGGGATCAGTTGATGAGCTCCCCAAGGCAAGGATGCCCATCAAGTTTTTGTCGTCGTCGTCGTGCTATACTGACCATGCAATAGCCCCAACAAGCTGCTCCGTTCATTCCCTTCGCTGCAGGCCGATAAGGTCATTGAGCGCACTCTCTGGATTGTAGAGAGAATACCGGATGACACTTATGCGGCCATTGTTGCCCATGCCCACTGATCAAACGCGGCGCGAGGTGGCGCAAGGCTAGGGAATCCACCGATAGCCAGCAGTTGATATTATCTGCCACAGACAGCTAGATCTATTGTACGAGACCGGGATCATTGCCTCGGACAACTATATCTCCAGGTTCGTGGTTTAAACCTACCGACACGAAAGCACGAATTATGCAAGACGCAAATAAGCCGGTACCACTCCAAACAAGGAGGTGGATCTTTCACGAGAAGAGGGAGCTTGACGAATATGGAATGAATTGTACTTGTACGATATTGGGATTGATGACTTGACGATTGACAGCGCACAAAACCGGGAAACGAAACGAAAGCGTGGCATCGCGAGCGCCAGATATGAGGTAGATGAAAATAAACGATGGCATGACTTCTGGAGAACCCTAGTAAGAAGATACAGCAGCATGCGTTCGCCGCCTCGTACTGAGCGACCGACCTAGATTCTGATATTTGGAGCACAAGGAGGACTAACCATTGGATGTGTTATCTCTACTGCCGTGGATGCGGAATGCTAGCCCGAGAATGGGACGGTCACCCGGGAGCCCAGAACTCTCATCCACCCAACAATCGAACCTTGGAAAGAGGGGATTGCAGAAGTTCCGGTAGCATCGGCTGTCTATTGAATCAGACAGTTTTCTTGCCCAGTGATGTTGTATGGTCCGATATTGGGCAACGTACTGCATAATGCCCCTGGTACCATGGCTTGCTTCGCCCGGTTGCGAAGTCTTTGTCTGGCCAGGCAATACGGAAAGGCATCACAAACATCAATCGGGGAGGAGGGCGTGGACCCTCGGCGAGAGACAATGTATCCTGAAAGATAGCGTACTCTCTAGCCCGCCCAGGAAAGATGAGAATGGCGAGAGCAAGTGATCTTGTTTAGCAACGTGGCCAGGGCCCTTGGGCTCGAGAAGAAACTCTCTGGCTGTGTCTCGTGCACGAGATACACCCATATTCTTGATGATGCGTGTGAAGTGTCCGCAGATGTGGTTCTAAGTGGTTTTCGAACGGGCACACTACTTCATATTCCACATCATCAATCGTCAAATTTCCTGATCTTTTGGCCTTCTTTGGCAGTCTTTGCTGCTAGCTGCTCTATTCACCCGGGGGTAACACAGCAAGAGCTATGCTGGCCTCCATCACGGTCAACGGCTTGACGCGGCGATAATCAGGTTAAGCATCTTCTGCGCCTTCGATGTTTCGGGCCTCGATGGTGTAGATATCGCGGGTTCTATGGATCTCGTCGACCTCACGGTGCGACGCCCCGCGCTCGATCTTCTCCTCCAGCAAGCCGAGAACGAGCGATACCCAAAGAAACGCCCGGTCGGCGTGTATTATCATCTCGAGATGAGCGTTGTCCAGGAGAGCGACAAGGAAGCCCCGGCTCCATGGTTCTCGCTTTGATACTCTTGGACACGCCTTGAAACCGAGATTGTTCAACTAGCCAAACGGCGGCGGTCGGCAGGAGAAGTAGGTGCTTCTGTAATCTGTCTGGAAAAAAAATAGAGTCTGGGTCGCGGTGAAGGGTGTCCACAGAGCAACTTGCCCTTTCCGACCATCTGGCTCCTGGCCTAGGTGTCTCCGTTATTCCTATGGGAAGGTACAAGGGTTCATCCAAGTCTGGTCTTGTCAGATACAGACATACAAGCGCCCGTTTCCCAGCTTATGATATATCTCGAGCGCATGACTGGCGGATAATGAATATATCATATCAGCCCCCGTCCTGCTCCCTACACCATCAAGGAACAAAAAAAAAATCTTGTGCACTACCTACCATGCCGTCACTTCAGGGAAAATCTCCGGCTTGAACTTGACAGGTGCAGAAACAAGACTAGTCTAGTCTGGCAGGGCTCAATAAGGCTTGGTCGGCAGGCAGACGATTCGCTTGCCATCATTGGATAGGTGTATCGGAGGGTGCATGCTCTTCGCTCTCATTGTTCGCCGCTACGAGGTCTGCCCGCCATCGAGCCAGACTGGCTAATAACGATGAGCGGAAGAGGATACGAGTTTGGAAAGTTCAGGTGAGCACAGAAACATGTAGGCCTGCGTGAAGTAGAGAAGGATCGGCGGCAAGTGGCAGTGGCCAATGAATGTTGACAGGCTGGGGAAAGGAATGAGCTGTGGCTACCTAGGCCGTGGATCAGCTGACGCACCGACTTGGGGGCTGGCTGTCCTGTCAGTTGTTGCTATCCGTACATCTTTCTCATTTCTAGCCAGGCTGAGGAGAAGGAGCAACAGCGGAAAGCCGCGAATCAGGCCCCGTCATCGGATGGCACTAATCGGCGCCGCGTGGCAATGTCAGCATTAGTCGGCGTCTTTTATAAAAATTTGTGGCCAGGTTCTTCCCCACGGTAATCGAGATGGATAAAGAACGACACGAAAATGGCTTTGCACGTCGAGATAGGTCAGTTTGCGCCGAGGTGTGAGTGACGGAAGGGAGGAGGAGCATGATCTCATAGGCCGGGAACGATCGTGGGATCGGTCTGCGGGACTCTACAAGCCGTAGGAAAGACTCCGCGCGCCCCAGTCATTGTGTTCGTCGTTCCTGTGCCTGTTTGGATGGTTCAGCCACATTAGGGTAGCATCGTCAGCGTATGCCAGTGAACGAATGGAGTGTCGCACGAAGTGTCCCAGTTTAGGCGGCTCGCCGTCCAAGGGGCTACGAAATGGGCACTAGCCGAGGAGGCTAGAGAATGGATGGCCGAATGGGGCCGGACCTGGTTCCGTAGTGATTCGTTGCTGGGTGAGAGCTGGAAAAAAAACTCAAGTGTGAGGCACCCAAGACGGCACCTGTATGGTACGGGACGGAGACCATCTCAGTCTTCCATTGGCTCAAGCAGCCATCCCCCCGGCAAGTCCATTTGTCCCTTCCCCCAGGCCGTGGCGAGTGAATGGCTGTCCACAACGTGCAAGGGGACGACGGTAGTGTATTATTGTAGTGGCAGCAGCCGCGAGAATCTTGAAGTCCGGCATTGATCGACAGGCCCAACAATCTGTGTCTGTTGAGACGTCATTGAAGGCCGAAAGACGAAACACCAATGCTCGCTTTACCCTCCATAACGAATGTGCGGTTGTCACGGGACGGATGCTAAAGATCGCGGGTCAAATTGGCAGAGGGCCATTGCTCCTTGCATAGACGCGCACCCATATGGCGAATTTGCCCGATGAAGCTTGAAAACGTGGACTCAGAAGAATGAGAAAGACTGCACTGCGTACAAACGGTCCAATAACAATGTTGGTCAAGTCATCCGTAGGCTGGGAGTGTGACGGCTCGCGTTGCTGAAAGAAGTCCGTCCAAGATCCGGCAGTCCAAGATGCCACGGGCAGACAAAGAAGGGTCGATTTATCCGTCTCTCATCAGTACCTTCGCTTGTTACCTGCCTACATTCTAGTGCCTCACTTCGTCGCAAGATAGATAGTTAGAACCACTGCCGAGGCAATTGTTCATTCCCATCACCTGCTAGTTGGCGTGCTTTGATGCAGAGAGAGAGAGGGATGGGGAAGGGGGGGGGGGTGGCGAAGCGAGATTCAACAGCGATTTAGGTAATGAATGGTTCGACTGGAAACATGAATCAGCCTTGAGTGATATCGTTCTAACTAGCGTCATACCCAGACGAAGCGCCGGCCGGGTTTATCTGATGCAGGTACCACCGACGGGGCGACAGGAAGACCAAGTGAGTGCCAACAAGCAAGTCTACTGCAGTGTGCAAACCAAGGAGAAGGTCATCTCCTACTTTCAGAAACATATTTAAATAATAAATAATAAATAAAACCGGTGTAAAAGCAAGCGCATCAACGAGCGAGCTCCTGATAAAGTTCAAAGAAGAGCATTTGGCTTCCTCGGCTAGTCCTCAGCCACGGACGGCACTCCGTCCCACCGAGGTGCGTTACTGGGTTGCCGCGGGGGGATAATACATTCCACCGCATAGGTAGTACCTAATCCGTAACTGACTCCGTACACAATACATTCTTCGCCAAGTACACCCATATACTAAAGTAACCGGCCGGGGTAGGACGAAACAAGTACTGTGTACTTTGCATGCCAGTAGCGGGATGCAAAGCCACGTCGGGTTAGAGGTGCAAATAGAATTCTAAAGGATGTGTGATGCTTGGGACTGGCCCTGGTGGGTTCTAGCGGAGACGTGAATCGCGAATTCTCTACCACTCACCACTCATGTGCGTCAGCGAGAACTCAAGGAGGAGGGAGAGAGAGATACCTACCTAGATGGGAGAGGCTGGGGGATGCTCTTGCTCACAGTGTTCTCAGCACAGCCACTGCGGGGGCTGAAAGGGCGTGGGTCCCTGCTTTCTTCGGAAAGCCAGGCTCCATCCCCTCAGGTCTCCTCCCTTCCATTTCCCTCAACCCCTCGACCCTCGTCCGGGTCCCAGGGCGTCGTCGTATTCCACCATTGTCAGCCATTGGCTCTTCCATCTCGTTCTCGGCAGCCTTGGTTGACATCATGAGCCACACGGAAAGGCACATCTGCCCTCAACTGCGGCGGTCTTGCCCTCCTTCTGCTTCAGCTTCCGCGTCTGATTGCACGGTTCTCGAGACCAATCCCGGGGGGTCGCTGTCGCTGTCGCTGTGGAGTCGAAGGCGCTGGAAGTGTCGGGGTAACTCAACTAATCCTAGGTACTTTGGAGAGCGTGGCTTAACCCGAATGCCGGAGCAGCCAAGAGTATCCGTAAGTGCGGCGAATATGAGTTGAGTGCGGCGGCGACCGTGCCTGTGCCTGTGCCTGTGCCTGTGCCGTGCCCGTGCTTGTGTGTGGGCGTGCGGCTCTAGGTACCTCTTGCTCGGCTGCCTGCCCGTTATTTACTGCGCAGGGTGGCTCCCTCCCCTTCCTTTGGGGCTGATGAGAAGCCACTGCTGGGGGCAGGTAAGAGTCGTAATGGGTGGGCGATGTATCGCGTGCGTACAGCCACTCACACACGGCCACAAGTACCAATCCTCGAACCCCAGTAGGTAGGTAGGTAGGTAGGTAGGTAGGTAGG